GGGTTGAAGTTGAAATGTCTCCGTACAGATAATGGAGGGGAGTACACCTCCAAAGAATTCAGAGACTACTGTTCCAAGCATGGCATGAGGCATGAGGCATGAGAAGACAGTTCCTGGCACACCACAACACAACGGTGTTGCAGAACGAATGAACCGTACCATTGTGGAGAAAGTTCGATGCATGCTAAAAATGGCAACTCTACCTAAGCCATTCTGGGATGAGGCAGCCAACACAGCAGTGTATTTGATCAACCGGTCACCTTCAATTCCTTTGAACTTTCAAATCCCGGAGAAAGCTTGGATGGAAAAGGACGTTGGATACTCTCACTTGAGAGTGTTCGGGTGCAAAGCATTTATGCACGTGCCAAAGGAACAGAGATCAAAGCTGGATGATAAAGCCATTCCATGTATTTTTGTTGGATATGGTGATGAGGAGTTTGGCTACAGACTATGGGACCTAGAAAAGAAGAAAACTGTCAAAAGTAGAGATGTCGTGTTTCATGAACACGAGAAAATTAATGATTTGAAGGAGGACAAAGCTACAAGAAGCTCTGGAGAGGGTGTAGAAGATTTAACACCGGCAAAAACTCCTTCAAGAAAAATTACAGATGAAGAAGAGGTGCAAGCACCAGAAGATGAGACAGAGGAGCCAACAATTGAAGAAGATGAAGCAAGTGTAGATGGGGGAAATGATGAGCAGGGGGAGCAACCCCTACCACAGGAGGAAGAACCTCAGTTGAGAAGGTCCACCAGAGAGCACAAACCATCTGCAAGATACCCCAGTTCTGATTACATCTTGATCACTAAAGAGGGGGAGCCGAAGAACTTCCAAGAGGTGTAGTCTCACCAAGACAAAGACTACTGGATGAAAGCCATGCGAGAAGAAATGAACTCCCTACACAAGAACAATACTTATGAGCTTGTGGAACTTCCCAAAGGAAGAAAAACCCTAAAAAACAAGTGGGTATTCAAGCTCAAGAAAGATGGTGATAAGATAGTCAGATATAAGGCTCGATTGGTGGTAAAGGGCTTCAGTCAGAAAAAGGGGATTGATTTTGATGAAATATTTTCTCCAATGGTGAAGATGAGCTCAATTCGAGTTGTGCTTGGTCTAGCAGCAAGCATGAATCTTGAGCTTGAGTAGTTATATGTAAAAACTGCATTTCTTCATGGTGACTTGCATGAGGAAATTTATATGGATCAGCCAGAAGGTTTTGAAGAACAAGGGAAGGAGCATATGGTTTGCAAATTGAAGAAGAGCTTGTATGAACTAAAGCAAGCTCCAAGACAATGGTATAAGAAGCTTGACTCTTTTATGATGAGTCATGGTTACCAAAGAACAAATGCAGATCCATGTGTCTACATCAGATTATTCCCTGATGGCAACTTCATTATCCTTTTGTTATATGTTGATGATATGCTAATTTTGGGACAAGATGTTGAGAAAATTTGCAGGTTAAAAGAGGAGTTATCAAAGTCCTTTGACATGAAGGACTTGGGACCAGTAAAGCAAATTCTGGGTATGGCTATTACCCGTGATAGAAAGGCTGGGAAGTTGTGGTTATCATAGGAGAAGTATGTTGAACGGATGCTTGAAAGGTTCAACATGAAACATGCTAAGCCAGTTAGCACTCCTCTTGCAAATCACTTCAAGCTGAGTAAACGATCTTGTCCAACTACCAAAGAAGAAAAGGAGAAAATGTCATATATTCCTTATTCTTCTGCAATCGGTTCACTAATGTATGCAATGGTATGTACACGACCAGACATTGCTCATGCTGTTGGTGTTGTGAGTAGATTCTTGTCTAATCCAAGCAAGATTCACTAGGAAGCTGTTAAGTGGATCTTCAGATATCTGAGAGGAGCTACCAAGTTGTGTTTGACATTTGGGCAACCTGAACCAATTCTAAAGGGATACACAAATGCAGACATGGCAAGTGACCTTGATAATAGAAAATCTATTTCAGGGTATTTATTCACTTTTGCAGGGGGAGCTATATCATGGCAATAAAAATTGCAGAAGTGTGTTGCCTTGTCAACAACTGAAGCTGAATACATTGCAGCTACAGAAGCTGGTAAAGAGATGCTTTGGATGAAGAGATTCCTACAAGAATTGGGATTGAAGCAGAAAGAGTATGTAGTATTTTGTGACAGCCAGAGTGCTATAGATTTGAGCAAGAATACTATGTACCATGCCCGAACAAAACATATAGATCTGAGATATCACTGGTTGTGCTTGGTGACAGAGAACAAGCAGTTTCAACTCAAAAAGATTCACACAAACAACAATGATGCTGATATGATGACAAAAGTTCTTCCCAGGGAAAAGTTTGAATATTGCACGAAGTTGGCCAGGATGAACTCCAAGTAAGGAGTTAGGATTTATATCTCCTCGCATGGGGCTGGAGGGGGAGATTGTTGGCAGAAGCTTCTAGTTCCAGCCCATTTTTCTACCACATATTGCAAGAGGCTGTAAGCTACAGCAGCCATTGTGGAAATTTACAATGGTTATTTCAGCCATTGTGCATGAACCTCATTTAATGAGGTAGAAAACTTGCACCGGGGTAGTTGGATTTTTTACCCTATAAATAGCATGCAATGGCAAGGCAATAAGCAAGCAAGAAAGAAAAAGCAAAAAAGAAGCAAAGAGTGCAGCACCAAAGTGAGC